GTTCATTGTACTTTGCTATTCTGTGAATTGTGTTAATAAGTACATATTTCGAGAAAATTTATTATTATTGTTCTCATTTTTACTATTATTTTAGTAAGTTGGGTTAACTTATTCCTGCGTCCATTTATTTTGCTATTATGTGACTTGAGTTACATATTTTGAGACATGAGTTAAAGATTTATTAGTATTGTTATTATTTTAGCACCTTGGATTAATGTGTTCATTGTATTTGCCATCGTAAATTGAGTTTATAACTTATAAGGATATATCTCAAGATTGACCTAAAGAATTATCTGTTATAAACTAGAGAGAAAATAGATGGGTTAATAGATTTGTGTGTATTTTATTGAGATCTAAACCCCAATATATATAAGAAAGAATTAGGGTTGTGAAAAATGCAATAGTTATTGCAACTAGGACTAAAGTAACATTCCTCGTCATTGCATCGCACTCGCATGCATCCCAACTCATAGAAACTGTAATAAATCAATTTGCACTTGTCACAAGAAAGAAAATATTTATCCCGTTAACTAATTGCAATCTGGTCTATAAGTAGTTCCAAACTAATCTCTTTTGACAAAATCTATAAATTCATTAATCCAACAAGAGATATCAAAAATTGGAGAAACAAAGGATGTGGGCTACTTTGTTCCTCCCGTGGGAATAGAAAGAATAAAGCAACAAGACCAAAATTAAAATTGAAGTTGCGCATTTTTGCGATGGTATATCAATGTTATTCTAACTGATATCGAACCACAAACAGGGATATTTGTCGTATAAGCCACTAACGTACAGCTTCATTTGAATTTTAGTTTACTGAGAAATTAAATTCAAAACTAATCTGCATATGGCATATGAGCATGAGTACACTTACTTGGAGAGTGCCTCCTTCTAGATGCAATCAGTCGCAAGGTTGCACAGTTCTGACTCGAATGAATCAAATTTTGTCGTAGAAGTGAGACTGGCCATATGGATGCCAATTATTTTTGTTTTCTGGTTGACTGCAAAGTCTTCTTCATCTTTTCTATTTTCTTTTTTCACGAGAATCTGTTTCTTAAAATACACACCTGTTTCTAAGTTTACTACAAGATATGCCCAGTGGGCCTAAAGATCTCATATTCAACTGTTACTACAAGAAAAATGATATTCATCCCCAATGGGAATGCATCCCCAAAAGATTGGTTAAATGATAGGTGAAATTAAATAACTTATTTATTTCACATATAATTTAATGTCATATTAACGCCACATAGATTGGGGATGCATCCCCATTGGGGATGGATAGCATTTCTCATATNATATTCATCCCCAATGGGAATGCATACCTCATTTATGTCACCAACTAATTTTACAATATTAATTGTGAACACCTAACACCTATTAACTATAATTAATGTAATAATAATGACGTACGATCACTTGTTTATTGCCGTAGTCCTTTTCTGTAGCCGAAATTAAAATATTAAGACACGCGAATAGCTGATCAAAGACAACTAATACATGTAAACTTTTCCAATAATTTAATGTTATTGGCTTACACAGCAATGTGAACGTTTAAAATGCAAGCATTCCATGGCAGAAATTCAAAAAAATAAAAAAAAAT